ACCATTGTTGGCTTCTCTTGGAAGCATGGAGGAAATGATTCCTCTGTGTTGACCCTCCTCTTTATAGACTGGACACTGGTTCAAGTCCATCTGGTGGGGTCTCCTTGGCCTCCTTGATCAAGAGGTCAGATGACCCACCACCATTACAGGACATTTTGTGAGATGCTCGTGGTCCCTGGGAACTAATCGACCTAGGATGGCAGGGAGCAAAAAGTGTCCTTTGTATCCCTCTGACCCAATTAGTATAGATCTCAAGGTATGTCTGTTAAACATCCAAGAAGGTTAGTTCCACCATTGTGGCATTTTTAATTACTGTGTGTCTTGCAGATAAATCTTGGGTAATGACCAGTTGGTCTCAAATAAACCTTATCTAGAGATATTTTTCTTGATCTATTATGTATAATTTGTCAGTAGATTGTAGGAATAATGTGGTTCCCTCCCAGAGGGATTTTTAAAGAGAAATTTTGACTCCAAGAGTTTATTCTAGAAAATTATATAATAAATATTAACTTGAAACCATGTTGAAATTTAATAATAAATAAAGCAAGAACTCTCTCCTCCAAAATTTTTATAATCTTAACAGGAGGGCAGAAACTACTATCCAAGGTGCCTCTTTTTGTTGTTATTGAATGAACATGAAAATAAAACACAGCAATAACCCAAAAAACAACAAAAACGTGTTAAAATGAAAACAATGAAAAGAAAAGAAGCAGAACCTTTTACTTGGTCCACCTTTAAACATAATGTAATTCAGTGCCTGCCACCCATCAGGCTGCTAATGGACTCAGAGCCCAGGAGAAGAGCTGGCAGGTCCACAGAATGGGGAAGAATGCTACAGATGATAATAATTTGAATGCTAAAATGTATGAAGGTCTTTGAATCCAGTTGAAAGGATTAAATATTTATATACCTTTTAGATAAGAGACATTTTAATATATATTAAATAATATAATGTATTAAATAAATAATTATGTATAATTTTAATATAATCCACCAATGTAGAATATTGTATTTTGAAGGCTAACATAAAATTAACACCAACTTACTGCTGGGTCCTGGTTTTGCACCTCTGCAGCCTGAGGAGATACAGAAAAAGAAATAATCAGAAATATGTAAAATCTTTAATGTCTTTAAGTATCTAGTCCCTACAAAGACTGGGAAGCTGGGAGAGATAGTAATTTAATCCAAAAAATTTATGATCCTGGATTATGATTTTGTAATTGATTTCAATTTTTATGAACTATGTATACACTATTTTCTAGTTTAAAAATGTATTTTTACGGGTGTGGTGGCGCATGCCTTTAATCCCAGCACTCGGGAGGCAGAGGCAGGCAGATATCTGTGCGTTCAATGCCAGCCTGGTCTACATAGTGAGTTCCAGGACAGCTGGGGCTACAG